GTATAATTAGGTATGAAATATATTGCGTTATTTAATCATTGGTTTTGTTTATATTATTTAATTTAGGAATTGTAATTATTTTTAAAAAATAAATATGAGAATTTTGTATTTTTTAAACTTGATTTTCTTGTCTAAACTTGCAAATTTTTTTATTCTTTTAAATGTTATATTTCTACCATTTTTTTTTCTTTTTAAAGTTAGGAGTACCTTTTTTTTCTTCTCTTACTTAATGCATTACACTTTTTCCTTGTACTTCGGGTTCGATAAAACATCGATTAATGACACTTTTTGGTCGATCCAGAAAACCGGGAAATTCAGATATCCGGGATAGCGATGGTCCCGAGCATCCCGGATAATTGGTTCTCTACTGTATTTTTTTAAAAATACTTTTGAAGGTGGGTTACTTTTTCAGCGAAAATAGTTCACTTATTTCATCAATAGATGGCTGCACTGGTTAGCTCTGCTTATTTTCGAATTCTTGTGAGTTTTAATGGTGTATAACTCGATTTGCCTCCAGATGGCACCACCATTATAAAGTTTAAATGCCATCAGTATAGTTATATTCATTAGAAATTGTAATAATCCTTTTAAATTGGGATTTTTGGGTTCAATTATGTGGATTTAAGTTCATTTATTTTTAATTAGCATTGTCTTATCACATTTATAATGTATTATTTAATTTGTGACTGTTTTTCACATGGAATTTTTTGTTTGTTCTGACGTCCACTGGCTGCGTGGCGGCTTGTGGAAGGAAGACAGGTCAGTCAAAGATTCTTTCACCTTGCTGACAAGAGAATAAAAAGGTTGTGAAGAGTGACTGAGGGAGGATAGACTAAGACGGTACTGCTGAGAAGATGATGTGTTAAAGCCAGAGTCGCTGAATGAATGGACTAGGTCGGAGCCCCTGAGTGAATGAGTGGGAGTCTTGAGCAAAGTTAAGCCGAAGCCGATAAGTTGAGGACCGATAGTGATGAGCTGAGTTCCGGAGCCGTCTCAATGCTGAAAGTCGGTTGTCCCACAAGTGCTAACTATCTTACTAGAAGGAAGCCCAAAGAAACTTGAAGTGTTGGAGTGCTGTCTATCAGAGAATGGAATGTTAACCTGATCCACAAGTCTGGCGGCAATACTGGGGGGCATTCCAGGGATTTGGTCCGTATTTTGATTTGAATTTATAAACTCTAAGTTCGATTTTAGTACAGTTTTAAAAGAATAATTTACCCTGACTTTTCCTTGTTTCTACTGTATTTTAAGATATATATTTTGAGATAAGCCTTTTATTTTTAATCGTGTTTACAGGATTCAGAGAGTATTATGATCTATATTTTCAATTGATTTTAAGATAAGTGTGCCTTTTATTCTTAATTGTTTTTTCTGGATGTGGAGTAATAGAATGTTGAGCTTTAGATTTTTAATTGCATTTTATTGAAAAGATAATTCTGTGTTGATAAATATTAAACTTGAAGTAACATATAATTTGGAAATATGTGATATCTACTTGATAGCATTTGGAAATATTTTGAGTGTGTTTTTGTTTAAAAATTTGAGTTTTAATAAAATTGGTTGTAAATGTTAAATGTTTCAAGTAATTCCTTTGTTGAACCTGAGTAACTGCTACCAAAGTTAATTTATTGATCACAGCATAATCAAAGTTGTAAGGGTAACAGTACAGTTTTTCATTTATATCATTGAATTTCACAGAAATATGAAGGTAGCTCATATCAAAAAAAGTATTGCCCATTTTCAATTCAGCGACATACTATTAAGATTTATTTTTTTCATAACCTGATATTAATGAAACATCACAGAGATTATAAAACACAATTTTTAAAATTCTTTCATAAAAGTATAATGTGTAAATATTTTATAAGATTTAGTGGAAATTGGTTTAACAAAAGTGCTTGAGAGGAACAATGGTAATATTAATAATGGTAATATTTAACTGCAAAACTTATTTTAAATTTTACATTATTTAAACTAAATAAATAGCCATATCCACCATACAGTGGTTAAGGCACTTAGTAGACATTGTGAAATATCAGAAATTCCCCCCTTGTGATGACTGGCTTTAGATTGATGGGTACTAACTTGTATAAGTACATTGATTCACACTATTAGACTGGGATAGTAAACTCTACAACCTAACTGACTAAACAATAGTGGTTATGGGATTAGTTTACTCTAACATAAGTGCAACTAAAAGAATTTTTGTTCAAGTTTTATAACATTAAGAAAATAAAAATTGAATTTTTATCAAAACAAATTATGTTCCAACTGTAGCTGTAGTTGAGAACCCTAAACACATTATTTTACTTCAACAGAAACAAAAACAATAGAACGCAGCTTTTATTTAAAAAAAAATATATGTATAACATTTAAACGTATTTGAACATAAAGCATTCATGGCACCGAAGAAAATCTTGTATGTCGATCAAAAAACTTTTAGAAGAAATAAGACACCTAATTAAATTATTCAAAAAGTTTTTTTTTTTAAAAATACTGTCAAAATAAACTTACTTTTCATCAAAAACTTGTGAAAAATTAGAAAGTTAAAAACAGTTCTTATTATTTTAAAAGAGCAAAGATTTTATTTGATGCATTTCTAAATGCATAACATTAAAAAAAAAGCCATCAGCAGAGTTTTACTATTAAATAAAATACAAATGTGAAAATTGTTAGAAGAACTCTAAAATAACAGGCTTTATATCAAATTCTGCTATATTTTGATGGTTATATTTAAAATAAAGATTAATGTTTCCAATCTTTGAAAACCAATGAACAATATTAACTAAAAACTGAAATTAAAATGAAATTTGAGCATTTTGTTTTGAATTTTTTTTTCATAGATCAATTTCGGTGTATTAAGCACACAAAATTAATAGTAAAAAGAAATAATTTTTAAATATTTGCTTCGTGCATAAGATACTCTTTCTTATTAATTAATAAGTAATTTTGGAGTTTAAATTATAACAGAAATTTTTTGATGGGTAGCTTAACACAAAAAACAATGACTGATACTTAAAGATAACAGGAGCTTACACTTATGACTCCAGGTAGATCAACTAGAACCATTCTTTGCAATCCAGGCCCTTTCACAGTCATTGAAATAACCTAAAAACACGATGGAATTTTTTAAAATTTAATATGTTTATGTACATATCTTAGAAAGCTTCTGAAAATAATTGAAAGCTTACTTCATTACTGACAGTTCTGCCTCCTTCCACACTTTTCTTCATTCTGATTTCAACTTCTCTTCTCAAATCAGCAAGCTATTAAACATGTAAAATCGTTTTATTATTTAAAAAGGTTTTAAAAATTTTCTGTACATAATTTAAGACTGATAAAAAACAAACAAACAAAAAAAAGAATGAAATAAGAAGTATTTTTGAAACAACTTGGCATTGAAAGTCTTATTTTAATGTTATTTTATTGCTATAAAAATTGTACATGAAACTTGAACATTATAGCATATAAAGTTTTCTTCTTTTTTTGAAGAAAATAAAAAAGCCTCAGTTTGAATTCCTCATTCTCTAAGAAAAGCTTTAAACTAAAAATAGAATTCTGCTGAAAAGAATTGACTAGACATTAAAGCAGAATTTTTTGAAGTTTATTCACAAAGGAAAATAAAAAAACCTCAGTTTGAATTCGTTAATCTCTAAGAGAAGCTTTAAACTAAAAATACCATTTTGCTGAAAAGAATTGACTGGACTTTAAAGCAGACAATATTACAAGTATTTATAAAAATAACTGAGTTTTTTAAAAATCACTGAATAATTTATATTCCCTGAATCAGTACAAACAATGCAGTAGTGGAGCAACTTTTCAGATTAAAATATTAATTTATAAATGCTAATCATATTAAAAAAAATTGCATATTTTCTTTATGTTGTCACTTTGTATTACTTTTATAATTGACAAAGAGAGGACTAGCGTGAAATAGACAAAACCAAACAGTTCAACATTGTTGTTATGAATTCACAACAGTTGGTTAAGGCCTCGCTCATACTGCTGGTGGATAGTTGGGAGGTCGCGAGTTCGATCCTGGCAACTAAGTAAACAACCAGAATGAATGTACAGCAAAGTATATGCACATTAAATCTGCCATGGCTGAAAGTCTTTTTATTGATTGTGTTGTGGAAGCTGGAAAAGAGGAGTACCAGCTCAGGCACTGTCCACATCCTTTAAGAGGGATCAAAATTATATGGCATTCCTACGATAGCCATTAAACGATAAAGCATTGTAAAACCAGGCTTGGTACTTGGCTATAGATGGGAGATGTGAACTCAAAACAGTTATAAAAAGAGCATGAAACTCATTATTGATGAAAAGAGTATTTGAATAAAAGTCTTAAGCAATTTCACTGCCATCAACATAAAAATAGGGAGCTATGATGCACAAAGAGTAACCAAAATCCCAATAAGAATTTTCTATATCCCAAGATCACAACAAAACAATTTTCCTCATATTAACAATAGGCAAAGGAGGCACAATCTGGGGATGCAGAGTCACCAAAAGCTTGGTTTGAAGCAGACTTGGCATATATATTTTCAAATCAAATTTAATTTACCTTTACAAAACAAATCTAATTTCCGTACAATAACTGTAAGATTCAAAACTTTAAGCAATCTAAAACATTTATAAAATATTATTATACTGACCTTCAAGTTTTTTAAATTAAGACAAATAAACAACAAATAATTATTAAATAACAAGAGCAACACAGGTAGAATATTAACAAACAAATTATAAATTTTTGTCAAAATTATAAAGATCAAAATTATAGACAAACACAAAATCTGTTTTACCTCACTTTCTTTAGTAAGATCAAATTCCCTTGAGCTGTCTTTAAAACAAGCAACATGATAGGGTCCTTCACTAAGAGTGACTTTAACAGGGGCTCTAGTCATCATTTCTCCAGCACCTCTTTTAATATAAAAAATTTAAGAATAAATATGTTACACTAAAGATCATGTAGTTTGAAATAAACAATAAAACAAGGTCAAATATAATTTAAATATTTGATAAGAATTTTTTTTTGGGAAAAATTGCCAAAAGAGTTTACAGTTAAAGGGCCGCACTAAGCATTTGCCGCCTCTTTAAATGTGATAAAATCATAAATTTAGTGGAAAAATTTGTGATTTTGCAAAAGTATTGGTGAATAACTTATTCCACAGGAAAGAAAAAAATATATTTAACTCAATCATCCAAATTCCGTCGAAACGAATTTTTCTAAACAAATCAGTATTTTTCATTTGATTGTAGTAATTTTCAGTAGATGTGCCACCTAACCAATTAGAATTGGGTCCAAATAATATAGGCCTGAAACAAATTACCATAAAATAGCTTTGTATGGGAAAAAATTAATTACAAAAAATGGTTAAGATTTATATTTGGCAAAGACTTTTGATATTTGGCTAATAATTTGAAATCCTTAGCTCGGGCCCTGCATAGTACAAACAAAAATTTTTTTTTCTTAACAAAATATCTTTATAGCAAGTTAAAAAAGACCACTATTTCAATGATACAAGAATCAGTATGTTTTAAAATTATTAATTTCAAACATTTATATTTAATATCACAAATTAATGAATTAGTATTTTTAAAATAAATTAGTTTCAACAACATATATGTGCCTAGCCAACTATCGTGTTTTGGCAATCTGTTTTTGTTGTCTTACATCAGAATTGTTTTAAATGATAATGTGCACACGAAAATAAAAATAAAATAAATAAATAAAGCAAAATAAGACATTTATTCTTTTAATTATAAGTGTGATTGCGTATAATTTTTGTACGTGGGCCCATGTATTTATCATTGCAAACAATTTTGTTTGACAGAGTAAAAACTTATCATTTAAACTTTAAATTGACTACTGAGAAAAAATAGTAATTTTTCAATTAATAAACTAAAAAAAGGTGTAAAACAATTTTTTCCATAAATGAGAAATTAACTAATTTTTCTATCATAGAAATATATTTACAAATAAGATTTCTAATAAAAAACAATTACCTTTAAAAAGAACTTTCATATTTTTAATTTGCTTCGATTACATAGCATGTTTGTAAAATAGAATGGTACTATGTCAAAACATATAGATGAATGAACATTTAAACTTTACACAAGATCGGTACAGTATCCTACTATTTTATGCACAGGTTTATTTTAATTGGTTACCATTTAGAAAATATATAATGGCCTTAACAATCTTTGAATGACTTTTCAAGAAGGACTTTTAACGCTCAATTCCTTATTATTATTTTTTTATAATCGTTGCTGAGCAGCTGACCCAATGCTGGATGCAGCATTCATATTCACCAGTCACCGCCATGACTCAAACCGGAGCCACTTCATTAGGAGGCAAGCAATCTATCCTCTCAGCCACCACGGTGGCTCAGTGCTCCTTTTTGTAAATATTGCAATAGTCAGTTAACTCTCTGCCACTATATTTTTTTTGGTACTAGATGATATTTATTAAAATTACAAACTATTAAAACTTAGAATTTAAAATTTAGCAAATTTTTAAGGGAAAAAAGATCACGATAAAAAGAACGATATATACCTTGGAAAAATTCGAGCTTGAGCTATCATCTCTAAGACACTTGTCTTGCCAGAGCTTTGATCACCCACAACAACTACCTAAAAATATGAAACATTAACTTCAAAGTCTTCTTATATTATTTTATTTAGTATTTTTTTTTAAAGACATGACAAACAAATAATAAGATCTGAAATATTAATTAATGCATAAACACACATAATTTAAATAAAGTAAAAATAAGTATTTTCATGATATATTTATATTCATATAAAGGTAAATAAAATAGTATATGATAGTTAAAAAAACTAGATTGAATACTTAAATTTAATGAGGCAAACAAAATATAGTACAAGTTAAACATTTAATATAAGAACTTACTCGAGGAAGATGATCTTGTGTATTATAACTAGAGTCATAGTCACTCAACTCATCTAATACTTCAGAATACATATCAATTAGTGATTTCTAGAAAATAGAACATTCTAGCATTAACAAATTTCAAAAAATTTAGTCAATTCTTGATTCGAAAATAAAGCTTAATCTTAACCACTTTGGTCTTAGTATTTTAGTATTGAACATTGCTCTATAATCCACACTTGTATGATTTTTAAGGGTAAACTAGCAGAATTTGCCATTAAGAATCTAAAATATGAGGAATATTGTAGAATGTTAGAATATTTTGTATTTAAGACTAGGGAGGAAACAGCTGCACAACCATTTCAGAGCATTGCACAAATAATTTTTGTATTCAGAAATGCATAATGCTTGCAAAATTACATTTTTGAGCATATAAATTTACCTTTCACTATACTTAACAGAGGAAAAATACTTTACTTGAAAAATGCATTACTAAATCAAAAAAAATTATTAGAAATGCAAGGAAGAATTATTTAAATAAATCCCAAATAAAGAATTTTCCATTGGATTTGATAGGAATTTTATAAGATTAGTGATCTGCTAGCATACAGCTCTAATCAATCAAAAATTGGTTTTACTGCATGTTCTTAATTTTTCGATATTAGGTTACCATAAGGAATAAACGTTAATAATTTCACAAATTATGGGACTGAAGTCACCCAATTTGTATTTTAAAACATATGTTTGTTATATTGATACTCTTTAATAGCTTGTTTCCATAAACTTAGTGGTAATAAACTAGTACGATCTTACGTAACATGAATTTTAATTTAAATGGCAACTTTTTTTTCAAGTTTTATAGCTAAATTACTTTTTGACCAGCTTGGTTCCATTGTAAATCCAAATTATTTAAAGAGTTTCCTTTCAGCCACTTCCACTCGTTAATTTTTTTTACCTATTATGACTTTTTAAATACAATATTAAGATGCATATATTTTGAGCTGCATTTGCTATGACGCACATATTTTGAATGTTAGATATTACTTTTTGAGAAGCAACTGTACTATTATATATCTACTTGTGATAATTCTATTGTAAATCCATGACATATATATTGATCATTTTATTATTCTTGATACCTTAATATGGCAAGCAAATTATATATTTTAGTAATCACTTTTTGAGATGCTTCATTCTAGTGGGGGAACTCATCAAATTAAGCATGTTAATCACCTTTGAAGAAATTAAAATCAGGGTACCTGCTACATTTTAGATTTTCAAATTCATGACTTTTCATGATTTTCCATGACTAATTCCAAGAATTTTTCATGACTTAATGAAGTTACTATTTTCTCCGACAAAAACGCAACAATGCAAAAAAGCATTATAATAACATAATAAAAGGCATAACCAAAACTATACTCTGCATCTTCATATTTATAGATTTTAAATTTAAAAAACAGAGTAAAGAAAGAATTGAAACAATAAAATAGCTAGAAAAAAATGCAAAAGCAAATAATTTTTTTTCTGTAGAATTATATTCTAAAGATACTTTTCTTGTTCATCTGAAAGGAAAGAAATACTCCTAATTTTTCTGTTCTCATTTAGGAATTAAAAAAAATTTGCAATGACTGGTTTGCTTCAACTAGAATTTTAAATTGATAAAATTAAATAAAATAAATAATAAGAATTTTTAAATGACAGAAGAGTTTAAAAGATAATTCGATCTAGAAATTATGTTTTTTCTTTCATTTTTTGAAAGAACACCATAATTTTTAAAGAACATGATAAAATCATTTTATATTCTAATAAAATATGCCTGAGTGATGATTTTGTTAGGAATTCAGATGTTTGGAACAGGATGAAATTGGGGGGGGGGATTCCATTTTAAAAATTAGATTTTTCGGAGACCAGTGGTGCAAGTGGCAAAACATGGTTTTGGAGCATCTTTCGAGCAACACAAAAGCAATTTTGGAGCAGCGAAACAAAGATTTGGAGCATATTTAATAAAAAGAATTAAAACAAGAGTTTTCAACTTTGTTCATTAATGGCATATCTTATTTTTTTCACTTTTTAAAGGTCCCTGCATAAACAAATTAAGTTTCTTTTTGGTAGCTTCCAATTCTGTTAAATATTCTGCTATGCTCGACTTAGCCTCAGATAAGAGGATCTGTCCGCTTTCTATAA